TAAATCTTGCTTTGCTAAGTTGCCTAGTTCTTAAGAATCTGAAAACAAATAAGTAAAAAACCAAGAACAAACAAACATTTATTAAAACTACTCTATTTAAACAAATTAAATTAAACAGGGAACAACATTGATTCTCTTTGAAAGCTTATAAAACCACTTGAATAAGAAAAGCATCAAAAAAGCCTAGACGCTACTTAAAAATGATATATGTAACATTGAACTTTAAATGTTGAGTGGAGTAGATATTTTTAAAAAATTCAAAATGATTTGTTCTTCTATAGCAAATAAAACCACTATAAATCTGAAGTTAAAAATGTAACAAATAAGTAAATACAAAAAAAAACATCATATGTGAATTGAAAATTAATGTACCGGATAGAAATAAGCTGTTGTAATACCTGAGTAGTAGTTGCTAAATATTGTTTTTTCATGAGAACCAAAATGTATTTATAGCGAAATGGTCCTGTGGCCCTGAGGATGGTGAAACACCATCCTCAAGGCCACAATATATTCACCAATGATGTTTCAGAGAGCCTGATAAAAATGGCTAGCATTGCTCGTCAAGGTTGCATCCTTGCTATCTTTATGATTGCCTGTAGTTTAAAGTTTTAAAGTTGGTTATATTCTAGTTTTTTTTCTTATTGATGTTTACAATTTCTGACAATTATAATGAATTTTCATTTCGGTAATTTCTGCATTTAGTTTGGAAGAATTTCCAATCTGTGAATGTAAGGTAATTTATTATCTGCTTGAACTGATCACTATCTAGGAGCTACTTTATGTCAAATGGAATTTAGAGTTTCATAATTAAAGTAATTTTTTATTTTTTATAAATCACTTTTTATTCAGCATGTTCACATGAAATAAAAACCATTGAAAACAAATTTAAAAACTGCATCCTTCTTTCTTTTTTTACCTTTTTTTCTAAAAATTAAAAACTTTTGCCAAATGAGGGGATCCTCAACTTCATGGGGCATTATTTTTTGAGTGCCATAATATATAATATTTGAGTGCCATATATATTTAATAAAATTTAAAAGCAAATTTTAATTAATTATTAGATTCAAGTTTTTTTTTATTTTAATTGGATCCAGTGGAGGTTGTTTATAACTATTTCTGCCTCTGTGTTCCAATTGTTGAGTTTCCTTCAAAAGGGCTTATTTATAAATAATAGTAGCAATTTTCTTCATATCAAAAATGAGAGCAAAATATTTTCTTCACGATAGAAAAACATTCATATTGTATTTTTACAATCTAAATATATTCTTGTAAGTTCTTTTTACAATTGTATGGACACAACAAATTGTTCTGTGTCTTTTTTTAAGAATTTTATGCATTACTACAGATGTTTGTACTGATATAACAGCAAGCAAGATCTTCTGCCTATCATGATGATATAAAACCTGATTATGTGAAACTTTCATCCAAGTGAAATCCTCCATTCCTAGTGAAATCTTTTTTATGAATACATCATGTTCATCTATTTTTAAGTGAAGCATGGACAGAGCAAACTAATTGATTTCCTCTGTGTAGGATCTATCAAGTTTCATCTCAAAACAGCTATCAGCAACGAAAACAAACAAAAGTTAACAAAGTAATAACTTGCTAAATTAAGAGTATTAACATATTTTTGTCTCTTAATGAAATGTAGACTGGTATTCTGGTCAGTTTAAAAACAATTTTTTTTTTTTTAATTATGTCCAAAGATCTTAAAACTTTGGCTTTGTTAGGTCTGTCAAAACCACCACCATTAAAGCCATGTCTGTTAACAGTTTCCTTTTATTTTCTTAAAACTTGTTCATATTTTTATTGCGAAAGAAAGGAGATCAATAATTTTACATGATGTTCATAAATATAGTATTCAAATGGTGAATTTATGTTGATAATTTCTGCAGTCAGTTTTATATGTAGCAGGCATTGTAATTGTTTGATTGTAACATTTTCACAACATTTGATTAGTAAAATTTCAATAACATTGAATCTGTATAGGAGGTTTACTATCAAGTCTTTGAATTAAACTGCTAGTGATCTAAAGGTCATTTAATCTCCTCCTTATCCATTGGGCCATCACTATAGCAAAACAAATATTTTCCGTCATACCTTTTTATTTTAGAAGAAAAAAGTTTTTGATTTTGCATTGCTTATCAAATTAAGATTAAGGAACAGATTAAGATTATTGAGACTAATTTCTCAATATTTTATTGCCATTAGTCATTATTTTATTAAATTTTATTGTCGTTAGTCATTATTTTATCAAATTTTATTGTCGTTAGTCATTATTTTATCAAATTTTATTGTCGTTAGTCATTATTTTATCAAATTTTATTGTCATTAGTCATTATTTTATCAAATTTTATTGTCATTAGTCATTATTTTATCAAATTTTATTGTCATTAGTCATTATTTTATCAAATTTTATTGTCGTTAGTCATTATTTTATCAAATTTTATTGTCGTTAGTCATTATTTTATCAAATTTTATTGTCGTTAGTCATTATTTTATCAAATTTTATTGTCGTTAGTCATTATTTTATCAAATTTTATTGTCGTTAGTCATTATTTTATCAAATTTTATTGTCGTTAGTCATTATTTTATTAAATTTTATTGTCGTTAGTCATTATTTTTATCAAATTTTATTGTCGTTAGTCATTATTTTATCAAATTTTATTGTCTTTAGTCATTATTTTATCAAATTTTATTGTCATTAGTCATTATTTTATCAAATTTTATTGTCATTAGTCATTATTTTATCAAATTTTATTGTCGTTAGTCATTATTTTATCAAATTTTATTGTCATTAGTCATTATTTTATCAAATTTTATTGTCATTAGTCATTATTTTATCAAATTTTATTGTCATTAGTCATTATTTTATCAAATTTTATTGTCATTAGTCATTATTTTATCAAATTTTATTGTGCTTAGTCATTATTTTATCAAATTTTATTGTCATTAGTCATTATTTTATCAAATTTTATTGTGCTTAGTCATTATTTTATCAAATTTTATTGTCATTAGTCATTATTTTATCAAATTTAATTGTCATTAGTCATTAGTTTACAACTTAAAAAATAAGTTTACAAGTAAAAAAAAAAGGACCCCTAAAGGACAATTTTTAGAAAAAATATCAAAACAAAAGGTTAAGTTTTTATATTCATTTTTAACAGTTTCATATAAACCTGCTGAAAAGTGTGCTTAAAAAAAGTAAAGTCTAATACAAAATTAAGCTTAACTGAAAACATAAAAAAGAGCAGTGTAGGGTATATTATTGGGTAGGTATTATTTTATTAGTTTAAAAAGTATAGGTTATATCAATACCCTTTATTTTTTCGATTTAATAAAATAATACTGGGTTATAAAAAAATTTCTCACTAAAAAATATTTTTAGAGGTAGCACCAGACCCTTCAACATTAGACATTTGTTAATTAAATAAATCACAGCAAGTTATGTGGAATGTGGATTAATACTTCAAGTGAATGTATTTATGGTGTAGGCAAACAGTTGTATATGTGTTTATTTTAATCCCAGAACGACTAATTGTATATAATTAAGTCTTCAAAATTATTTATGTTTTAAACTTTTTTGTTATTTAATACTTTTAAATTTTTCTTATCATTTATATTGTTATTATTCAGTTCTGAAAAAAACAGAATAACTTAAAAATTATAATTATTAAAAAATTTGTTGCTATACTTTAGCTTCTTCTCCTTCAGACTCTCTCCTTCTGCTATCAATAATTAACTTTGCATAAAATTAATCCACATATTCTAAAGTTAGTTTAATCTTTAAAATCATTCACAATGCTGTCCAGACTTTAAGCTGCCGAGGAGTTATAGTGAATAATAACTATTTTTATAGCAACAGAAGAAAGAATGATTTCACTTATTGCAGTTAATAATGAGGAATGGTGAGTATCTCTAACAGTAACCTGTTTATTTAAATAACAAGAAGAGTGTGATCAGAAATAAGGTTTTGCATTACAAACAGAGGATTCAGAGTTCTAACCATTAGGGTTACATATTTTCTATTTTTCACTATTTTCATTATGTCACTTATTAGACTATGATCCAATTGCATGTGAAAACAAACAAACCCTTTATTCATTTTCCTAACTCAAGTAATAAATCTTAATAAAGTCGAACTTTGCTGCTGTTGTCATTAATGCATAGTTTATTAGTTGCTGCAGAAACTAGAAATGAGAGCACATCACAAACAGCTTTAGACAAATCGAATGGTATTTTGTTTTCATAAACAAAGAACATTAGTATCCTTTAGCTTTTTTTTTTGTTCCTTTTTTTGAGAAAGCTTACAACTTCATGAGGCTTCTCAATTGCCCCAACCTTTAGGTATGCAACTTTTTTTCATCTCTGCAGGTTTTATAAAGAGAATCATCTTCATATGAAACTTTCTTCAAAACATCTATATGTTTTTCACTTTAATTTTAATTACTATTATTAAAATTCAAGTTAATAAAAATAATTTTACTTACTTACTTTTTATGTTAAGAAATTTTGTACTTTACTTTTACAATATTCTTTGATGTTATTGTTTTGAAAAGACTTCAAACTTTAAGAAAAAAAAAGTTTGTTGACTTTGTCAAGTTGTTTAACTTTTAGCCTTTAATAAATTTCAAATAAAAATATTTTTTCTTTATTAATAATTTTAACGAAAGTGTCATAGTTTTTTTTTAAAGTTTTTGAAAATCAGTTGATGATTTTGTTTGAAGTAATAACTTTAAGCAAAAACATTTTCAAATAAAAAAGTTTGTTATAATGATAAATTTATCTCTACGTAACTTAATTTTCAAATCAATAAAAATCAAATTAACTAGAATTTTTTAGATTCCTTAATTTTTCTATAAAATTTTATGTCAAGTACATATTTATAGCTATTTTATGTTTATATAAAGTTATAGCAATAATGAATGTCATTGTCATGAGCATAAATATCAGTAAAATCATAATGATGGCTTTACTAAACATTGTTTTGTTTTATTTAGATTTGTCAAGAATGTCTGCTGAACTAAAACAATATTATCTTAAATATTATAAGAAAATTAGTGAACTTCAACCACTATTAAAAGCACCTGCAAATGTTGATCTAATGAATAAATTTGTTGATCTATGTATTGTTGATGCAGCGAAGCCACAAATGGATGCTGTTTTTAGTGTTGAACGAAAAGAATTTCTTGAAAAGCAAATGCGTTATACACCAATTCCATATAGTGAACTATTTATGAACGAAAAATCGGTAATATTAGTATCTGGAATTGCTGGTATTGGGAAAACATGGTTGCTTAGAAAATGTTTGCTTGATTGGTCAAATGATTTAATTTGGAAAAATGTTGAACTTGTTTTTTATTTAGAATGCAGGAGGATTAATCAATATGAAAATATTTTTAGTATAAATGATTTACTAAGCGTTTTCTACAAAGATATTATAAGTAACTTAAATATTAGTATTACCACTGCACTGTTTCTAATTGATGGGTTAGATGAGTTTAAATATTTCAATGAGTTATCAAATCCAAATTTAAAATGTAAATATCCAATTGTTAATGTTTTAGCAGAAATTCAAAACTATAAACATTTAGTTGCTGGTAGAGTTTATGCAATTGATCAATACCAAAGTATTTATACAGATCATAGTGATAAGTTAACCATTCAAATAATGGGGTTTAACAAAAATGGAATAGCGAATTATGTAGAAAATCATGTTAAGGAAGAAAAAAAAGGAATTGTAAATGCAACTTTAAAGGAATCTCCAATTGCAAAAGCTATGGCATCTGTTCCTTTTTATTTATCTTCTATGTGTAAAATTATCAGTGATTCAAAAGAAATAAGTACAATATCTTTCTTAACAATGACAGATTTGTATGCAAACATTTTTTTATACTTTTTACAAAAACACATCATTAAAAACAATGAAATGATTTATCAGATAATGGAAAACGATTCTAATAAAACATATATTTTAAATATTTGTAAAATTGCATATGAATTGTTTCTTGTAAATAAAATAATTTTTTCAAAAGAAGAGCTTCAAACTTTTATTGGTGACTTTGATAAAAATGAATATTTTTTTGGATTTATAGAAAGGATTGAAACGAATCTGGGATGTTATTATCAGTTTGCACATTTGACAGTAATGGAATTTTGTGCATCTGTATATGCTTATAATTGTTTAAGTAGTGATGAAATTATGACCAATGAAAAGCTAAAGAGTTGTTTATCAATGATTTGTGGATTATCTAATGCTAGTCAAAATAGTTTATTAAAGTTTCTTGTTAATCTGAATCCTTCAAAAAGTCCCTATAAAAAGTTTATTCAATTTATAATGAATCTATTCAAGAATCCTTCAATAAAGTCCAATGAAAAATCTATCTTTTTGTATTCTATTTTGGGTAAGTTCAAAATCCTGGTGGCATTATAGTGAGTTATTTTCAATAACCATACAGGTGTTCAATAAAGTATAAAATATATAGTTATTTTTACTTTATTTTTGATAAAATAAAAAAAAAATTTAATTTAATTAAATCTTTTTTAATAAATATTAATAAAGAATTGTTTATTTAAATTTTTTTTTAAAGTTTTTTTTTAGTTTTATAATTTTATTATTTGACTTGATTTATAAAAAACAAAACAAATGATTTATATCTTTTTTTTTCTAAATGATGTACTTTGCATTTTTATATTTGGTATGTTTAACAACATTTGGCAAGTTTTTAAAAAAATTTTAAATATTTTTTATTAAGTTGTAGTGTATTAAATTATTGTCCTGATGGGATACCCTGAGAAATGTCCTTTTGGGATAACACATTGAGATACTGCATCAAAAAGATACCCTGGTGTACACACAGTGTCCAGTGTTATATAAGAATACAATTATATGACAGTTATATATATATATATATATATATATATATATATATATATATATATATATATATATATATATATATATATATATATATATATATATATATATATAAGTATATATATCAGTCTTGATCGAAGTAAATATATTTATATATGACCGTTGTTTGATTTATAAATGCTGAAGGTTGCAATGTGGTTATAGTCATTTTTAGGTTTTTTATTAGGTGTTTTGAGCTCAATATTTTCTTATTTTTAGTTGATTGACAAATATCTCTAAGGAAACGAAACCTAATTTTAAAAAGTATAAATTGTTTGTGCAAGTCTCTTTATATATGTTAGGGCTGTTCATATTTTACAAAATTTTTTTTTAGAATAATGATTTCAACCTAAATAAATGTGTTAGGATGAGTGATTTCAAAATAAAATTTTGATTTAAAAAAAAAAAAAAAATTCCACCTTGCTACTGCTTTATTTATAAATGCTGAAGGTGATGTAGTTTAAGTCATTTCTAGGTTAAATTTTTTACAGGTATTTTGAGCTATATTTTTTTAAATTTAGAGTTTATCGAAAGATTTTACTTCAGGTAACAAAACTTAATTTAAAAATGCATAAATTTTTTGCACAATTCTTGATATAGAGGTGTTCATGTTTTACAATATGTTTCATTTAAAATATGTATGAAAGCTCAAAAGATGTATAATCATGAGTGATTTCAAAAAAATATATATTTATTTCAAAATATATTTTTTCTCCATGGTTACACCCAACCAATACTTTATGAAATTTATAACTTTTCACAAGATTTCATTTTTCTTGAGATTTGAAGTAAAACGAAACGTTAAAGCATACAAATAATAAAATCACAAAGTATCATTGTAATTTCAGCAACGCGAGGAAATAAGCAGAAGACCAGATGGTTTTACATACATTAAAAAATAAATTTACTAAGTATGATTTGCGTATTTTACATTCAGAAACATACAGAAGATCACATCAAAATACATAAATTTACTTAAGACGGTTTTTGCTTTTTACTGAAAGTGTTAAATTATTTTTTTTAATGTATTTAATGCAATTTTTTAAATAAAGACATGTGAAAGGTTTTTTACAGTCTAAAAGTTCTAAAATGCAAATAAGAGAAGAGCAATTGCTTGTACATCTTAATTGCTTGGAATCCTTTTAAAGAAACATTGCAAAATATATTAACAGATATCTTAGGCTGAAGAAGAATATTTTCTCCAAAACCAAGTACAAAGTCTAATTCAGAAAATGACAGGCGTCTAATTCAGAAAATAACAGGCGCTGTTAAATATGGAATTTTGACAGGCAGAAATTGACTATTGCCGTCAACAAAAAAAATTATTGAAGAGACTAAGATTAGCTATAGGCATGAATATAACAGCCATAAAATATCAGTTACACTGATTAAGCTTGTCACCACAGCTGGAGGTGATCTCTTTCTTATACTTAAGCTTTTCGAATGAAAAATAACATCAACAAACATGCTGATAATATTAAAGTTCTAATTAAATTCAAGATCAAACAAAATAAGATAAAAATTCAGTTATACTTTGATCGAAAGTTAATCAAGTTAATTGCATATATTTATTTATAATTAATACATTAAATAATTACAATGAAAAGACATTTTCCTTACATTATTAATCAAATCTAAATTCCAGGACATGTTGTAAATAAATGTTTATGTGGCAGTTGCTAGGATTTGCATTCTTTTGAGAGCTGGAGGAACTACTCACCTTCTTGGTGCTCCAAGGGTTCCTTCTGGTACAGGACTAAATTGGTTTAGGCTATCAAGGAGATTTTGACCAATTTTGGTATTACTAATTATGTTAGGAGTTTTCTTTGACACTACTGCTAGCCATACTGGAATGATTCGTGGCGCTATATAAAGATAAATATTTTTTTAATAATTTAAAAGAAGAGCTCTGTGAGTTAATTACAACAAACTATTTCAGTAATGATTTCAGTTTTATTAGATTAAGTTTTAGAAATAATCTTGGAACATTATGGGTCAGCCGATACCATTGGACCTAGCGATGTACTTTTTAAAGGCTTGAAAGAGAAGTGGAATGATCTTGATGTTAATGATGACACAGTCAGCAATCATACCAATTCGCAACAGATTTGTCAGTCTTAGTTTAAAGAACAAGTAGATGAGGCAAGAAAACTTTTAATGACACTTGTTAATGAAGCAGTTTTCAAATATTTTCAGATTTATATTTCTAGCCATTAAAATGTTAAAGTTTTAATGTAATTAATGTGAAATATTTATTAATAAAAACAAGTACCAATATTACCAGGAACAAGAGACTACCAGGAACTTAATGAGCTAGCTCTCATTTTTTTGGAACGAACATTCAAGCTTCTCAACATTCACAAGCCTGGGGCAGTAAACCATGCATGTTTAATGGCAATGAATGTTTACTGATATGAAGAGTTCTGAAAATCATGCTTCTTTATAATTTGACCAAGCAAATCCTGAACTTGAAACAAAAGGAAGATAAAGGATGTGGAAAAGACTTTAACTTATATATTAATTTTCTATTCTCCTAAATTTCTCAGCTGAGAAATTAGATACAGCTGCAATCCAGGTTAGTTTTTGTAAGCTTTGATTTAATAATGTCATAAATAAACCCATTATTAGCATTTTTACTTGATAAGATAAGTTTAAAAAAGTCATGTCTTTATATTCTTGACATACATTGTTGTAGCTTAGACATGGCCAATCATGTGATTGGGGCTATAGAGACAGAAAATGAGGCTTTTAACAAAGCAGAAACTTAATTCTATATTTTAAGCTAATAATTTTTATAAATAACGTCTTGATTTATTAGCTTAAATAACGAGGACAGTGTGCAATGAAAAAATTTTATACATGATCTAGACAAATAAATTATCAAAACTTTGGTTAAGTGTTGTTATATATATATATATATATATATATATATATATATATATATATATATATATATATATATATATATATATATTTGAAAAAATCAAATTATATATTGAGTATAAAGTAAAACAAAAATAAGTTTTTCTTAAACAAAGTATGTTTTTTTTTTGCCATAAATAAAATATTATAAAAAAAGACTTATTTTTGAAATAATCTATATAAGCATTTAATAAAAATTTTGAAATCACTTTCATATGGTTTTTAATAAAAAGTTTATTTTCTTTATTTGCTTAAAATTCCTTTTAAAACGTCTTCAACAAGTAAGTTAAATTTTCTTCACTCTCATACAAAGTAAAAAAATATTACGATGTACCTACCCTATAAAAGCTCTTAAGAATCAAAAGTTATTTCAAATTAGGAATTACTATAATTACATTTAGAAAGAAATATTTAGAAACTTTATTTTTTCACGATCTAATTCAAATTCAAAAACAATTAGATCGTGATGATTTCAGATCATCACGATCTAATTGTTTTTTCTAAAAGAAAGAAAAAGTACGGTGCGAGATCTTATATGGGGTGTGTAGGACAGTTATGCAAAACTTAAAAAACTTTCCCTCATGTATTATCAATGCAAGAGTATAATTTGAGATTAATGCATGTTAAGTGTGTGTCAGTGGAGATAATATTTTTTGCATCCTAAATAGGTTTCTGTCATGTATGGGGGAGATTGCAACATGTTTTTGCGCTTTTTTTTTATACTTTATTAAAATGAATATTAAAATTTTCTTTATAAATGCTACTAGTAAACTTCTGATTAAAAAATAATAATTTGATGGAAAACTTAAAAAAAGTTTAGATGTTAAATTCAATCTTAACGCATTTTAACACATGTCAATCTACCTGAAAGAATGGTTTAAAATATTTTTATTTAAAAATAATTCTAAAGACTGGTTTAAAAATAAAATACTAAACTTTATTCAACTCTACCAATTTTATAAAACAGTAACTTTTACTTTCAAATTAATTTTCAAAAATATCTTTTTAATAAGAAATTTTTTTGATATTAAGTTTTTTTATTTTTTAAAAAAAATGTATTTTGTGACTTACGCCCTTTTAACAAAAAAAGATTCATTTAAATTTAAATGCACAACTCTTGTTTGACATTAAAAAGTTTTGTTATTTGAAAAACCAAACCATCTATATTTGAAGCAAATATGATTAAACTAACTCGTAAAAAATTTGAACGCCATTGAAGCACTCATTCCTTGCCCTCAAATGACATATTTGAAACAAAAAAATGGACCTTAAAATGACTAAAAACTGCTTAGTTTAGAGCAAGACTAACGTTAATATTTTTTATATTTTTATATAGGGCATATAAATATATGAATTTTTGATTAAAATTTCTCTTATAAAAATATTGCAAAAAAAAAAACGCTAAAGTAATACGTTTGTTTTTATTAATTTTAAACAAACGCCAACGTTTGCATAAGCGAAATTAAAGAAAAGTGACGTTCGTTTTTCTTTCTGTTTTTTTTTTAACAAACGTTTGCATTTTCACAAGAACATACACTTTAACAAGTGTCGTTTATTGCAGCATGAAAAAATTCTTTAGACGAACGTTGTTTACTGCATATGAAAACAGTTATATATTATCTTTTTGTAATAGAATGCAGGCATTTTAAGAGTTATTACAACAAATAAAAGTTCTACAATAAAAGTGAATAATATATCAAAGTAATTGATATATAAAATATAATTAATTACATAAAATAAAAATTATTATTCAGCAATTTAGTGTAATAATTTTTTTAACAGTTAAATAATTTTATATTTGCCAATATAATTAAAAGTGTAGCAAGTTTTTGTTAAGAGTTCAATCTTATCAAAAACATTTACATTTAAATTGGCACTCTTTTAAATTTTTTTTTTTTTTTTAGTGGAACGACCATATCTTTTAAAAAGCAGTTGATAAAAAAAATACAGTTGAATATAATTTTTTTTTTTTTTTGATGGCTTAGTGTTTTCCATTTTAGTTACAATGATCCGGGGATGTAGGAACAAAAATTATATAACAATTTTAAAAAGTAGGTTGTATGTAAAATTATAATAAGGTTTTTTCGGTTTTAATCTTTTCGTTTTAAGAACCTGCTACCGCTATCGTGCATTTGGAAATCAGTTGCGATGGTTACAAAATCATATTATAAGCGAAACGTTTGTTTTCAATATTTACTGTTTTTCTCGAATTTATTAAAAGAATTTTTGAAGTTCGATGATCGAGTTTTAAATTTATAAAACTCACTTTTCAATTTATTTTCTTAAAATGCTTTACGGTATCATTTTGTTCTCATTGTTTATTAAAATTCACACTGGTAACAAAACTTTTTAAATTTTGTAAGTATACTTCAGTTTTATAATCAATTTTTTCTTTTCATTTAAAAAGTTTATGTTTTGGAACTAAAGTCGAATTGTTTTAAGGCGATACGACGACAATGACCTCTTGAATATAATTATGAAAACAATTTTTTTTTTTTTTTTTTCATTTTTGTTTATTTTGTTAATATATTCATTGAATTTTTTTAAACAAAAAAAATACAAGAAAAGATAATATTTAAATTTAATATTTTTGATAATAATTTGATTTCAAGATATAAGCTGATTCTATTCTAAGACTGTAATTTCAAGCGAATTTAATTTTATTCGTTTCATTCGATTTAATAAACATGTAAAATATTCCCACAATATAGTTCAATGATTTGTAAATCGACAGTTCGTCCAAGTTTTAATACTCCTGTGACACTATTGCCATTAGTAGTTTTTTTTATGTTCTCACCGTAAGTTAAATTTTCTCATTAGAACTTGTGTTCATTTGGTCACTCGTAAAGAGAAATATTAATTTTATAAAATGATAGTGAAAGTAAAACTTTTCTTTAAAATGACTGTTACATGAATTACAAAATTTTAAAACAAAATTTTATTTGTCTATCCAAAAAATATGCATTCGATATAATTTGTATAAAAATTTAAATTTGATTGAATAGATCATTGGTTCTTCTTTTATGTTTTAATAATATATATTTTGTAGCCTTATTCAAGAAGCGCTAATTGCATCAAAATTTAATTTATAAGTTGTATAAAAGTTGCAAATTTTTATTGATTTTCTTCAAAGTTTCAAATCGACGTCGAAATCGAATCACCAAATATTTGAACCCTCACTCTTTGACGTTTTTTCATATTTATTTAATTAACTTATTTTAAAAAAGATTGTCGAAGGAGATTTTCGATGTAAATTTTAAATTTGAACAAGTTCTGTAGAAATTCGGTTTATAAATACATTGAGTTCTTTACAAATTTGCATATAAATAAAACAGGTTTTCCTTTTTATCTTCTTATATAAAAAATGATGATATTTATTTCGAATGACAATATGAATAAATAAAGCATTTTTTTCTAAGTTAAACATATTTTTAATCTGTTTTATGTTATTTTAAGCAAAAAATATATTTTATATATGTATGTTATTGGTTATTAAAAATTATAAACGCAACATTTATAATAAAATTTAATTATTTAAAAATTATGTTCAAAATAATAAAATTAGTATATTTTTTATAATTTTTATTAAGAAGTTATTTGGTTTAAAAGTTTTATTAAGTTTTATATATAATTTCATTTATTATTAATGTAATTATGTTTATTATATTATAATATAAATATAATATATTTATTAATAATATGAAAATGTATTCAATTTTTTATTTAATTATAGTGTATTAATTATATTTGTATATAGAAAAATAATAATATTATATGTATAATATCACAATTTTGATTATTATTTTATTTTTTGTTTATTATTTATTTGTTTATTGTTATATTTCACATTTAATTTTTCTTTAGATCGTCTATCTAAAAGTATTAATGATTTTTATGATTTTAATTTGTTCTACGAATGTTTTTACGAAAGTCAATCGTCATTCACTGATGAAATAAACTCAATTGTTGATGAACGAAATAAACAATTGTTTAATGGTTGGACGATTTCGATTAACGATGGAAAAACTTCTTACGCAACTTCTTGCGATAATTATTTCGTAAATTATTACATAAAATCTGGAAGAAAGTTAATGTGGTTAAGTGATGATAAAAATATTTTAAGTGATGAAGAAAAAAATCTTTTAATTCGATGTTCAACTAATGTTCGCTATGTCACCTTTTTTCGTCCAATTAATTTCGAAGGATGGAAACCGAAAGATAAGATTGAAAAGTTGACGATATGGATCTCAGATTATTTAATAACAAAAAAAGATTTTGAAGAAAACTTTCTTCCTTGGATTAATCTTTGTGAAGAATTAGATCTTCAACTTCACGACGACATTGATTTCTTTAAAGACATTTGTGAATGGATTCGTTGTTCGAACATCAAGAAGTTTAAGATCTGGTACCGTGGAAAAGATTTTTGTAACCTCGATGAATTAACTTTATAACGCGGAAAAATATATTTAAATATATAAAATAAAAACAATAATTATAAAATATTAAATCAAATATTTAATTTATTTTTAAATAATAAAAATAATAAAAAATTAAATTATTTAATTTATTTTTTTATAAATATATTTGCTTTAAATATACGAAGTAGTTTAAATATATTAGATGTAAATAAAAATGTTCAATATTATATTATTATATTATTCATATTTATAATTAGTTCTTTTTGAAATATATTAATTAAAATAGTAATTACATAAACTATTAAATATATAATTATATTTGTGGTACATGGTTTTTCATAATTATTATTTTTTTAACATTTTTAATATTAATAATAACATTAAACTATAAATAATAATAATTGATATTAATCTTTGTTTAAATATATAACTTTTTTTTATAAACTTTTTTTTTTTTTTTCATAATTATATCATGAATTTTGATCATTTTGATTATAATATTAATATATTTTTTCTTTTGTTACTATAAATATTAAAATATAATTAATATCAAAAGGTGTTAATTATATAAAATACTAAAATTAGATTAAATATACTTTTACGGTAATTACCATTTTTCTTATTAAATCAATAATAAATATTTTTTGACAATATTTTTTTTTTTTTACTGCAATATTTCTTTATTATATTCAACCTTCGTTATTATATATGATGTTTACGATAGTCTCATGAGTTTCCAGGTTTATTGAAAGTTGATGAAATTAAATTTTATATTTAAAAAAAAATTATTTTCTGCACACAATCACATTTATGCTAATATCAATTATTTTTGAAGTTTAAAGTATTCGCCATTTTTTTTTAAGATTTTCGTTGACAACGAAACAAAAAAATTCGAAACTTTGCAGAATTTTTTTTTTGGAGTTTTTTTGTTCGAAAGTTAAATTCATATAACTTTTGCTTAATCAGACATTAAGTTTTATTTCGATTAAACTTTTTTATATATTAATTATTTTAAAAAAAATTAAATTTTACTTAAAAAATAAAAATTTGAAAGTTTCTTATATTTATTTATATATATTAAAATGCTAATAGTCATGTAGGCAGAACACATCGGTTTTTTGCAAATGTAAAAATGCCAGAGCATTAAATAAGTTTAGAACAGTTGACAACTTCGTCCAAAGATAATAAACTTAATAATAATTTTAAAATTGATATATTTGATAATAACTTTAAGTAATAATTTAAGTATATAAAAATGTCGGTACTTTTGCACTAAAATTGATGCGGATATTATAACTTTTTTTACTGATAGTTCCGCTGGTTTTAGAATTACTTATATTGCTAAAACTAATTCAAATATTAAAGCCAGCAATACTGGCAGTATAAAAAAAGAGCAAAACCGCCTCAATTTTACTTCAGGGGTACTGTCATTTTTCATTACTTAAATAGGACATAAGCTTTTGAAAGTCTTTATTTGTATAAATAGTCACGTCCTATTTCTTCTAGTGCGTTTAACCTGCACCAATCTATAATTAATTTTATAAAAACGTTCCATCTGCCTTTCCGTGGCTGATAATTTTTAACTCAAATAAAACTAACAGTTATCACAACAATCAAGATCTTCCTAAAATTATGAACGGCAACGTACATCTTCGTTTGGCCTTTAAGCAGTGGCTTGGCGACAAAAAATGGGCCTTCCCTTGAAATTTTAATCCTAAACTATTTCTCTCTCCCCTCCCCCTCAAAACAAAAAAAAATTATATATGAAAACAAAAAGCGTTATTTTTAAATACAATTTTAATTTCAGTTAATTGAAACAAGTATGATACATATTGTATAGCTAAGAATTTCTAATTCTTAGATATACAATAAAAGTAAAAATGTTATTAAATGTATTTGAAAAATTTGGCCCCTAATAAGTCTGGGCCCTCCTACGGCTGCGGGCTCATCGGTACGTTTATATCTTTAAGATAAAAAAATTATTTCCGATATTCTTGGAAACCACAAATCAAATCCATGGCAACATAAGCATCTGATAGGGTTGCATTTCTTTATCGTGCTCGCCACTTTCCTCTTTAGGAATCTATTCTTTATCTCAATAAATCTCAATGCCCTTTTTCTTTTAGGTAAAGTGCACAAACGCATTGTAAACATAGTCGGACCCGCTCTTGCAGCATATTTTTGTATTAAATGTAAGTAGTTTTAAAAAATCTATTTAAATCTTTACTCTAAAATTAAATTTTTTAAAAATTCTTTACAGAGAGTTTTCCTAATTTAAATTTGGTAGTGATTTTTTTAGACAATTTTTTGTCGTATAAGAATGGTCATGAATTAATTATAAATTTTATAAATAAATATTTACACGAAAAATTATGGTCCAAAAATGGGTAACTATTAAATTTGGATAATCTTCAACCATGAAAGACATTCTTGTTTTTGTTAGATACAAAACAAACAAATAATGCTATAAAAAACAAATCAACGCTATATAATATCACAACAAAGAGTTATAATATCACAACACAGAGTTATAATATCATAACACAGCTTTATAATATCACAACACAGAGTTATAAAATGATGTGGCAGCAGCTTTTAATTGTATTTAGTCGTGAAAAGTATATTTTATTATAAACCCATAAAAGTTTGGTAATCTGTGCTCTTTGAAGGATTTTTTTGACAATTGTTTATGGGGGGGAGGGGGGAGGTCAATTAAAGTTGACGTCAGCAATTTTTTTTTTTTTAGTTTTATTGCTTTAATAACGAAAAATTAGGCTAAGTTTGTTGCGTAGTTTCTTTGTATAGGAGGATGGGGGGGGGTTCAAAATTTGACATAATATTATATTACTTTAAGAGTTTTGTGCAAAGACAAAGTTCAGCAGTTTGTCAAAAAGATGTTTTAGTAAATTGCAAGAAAAACATTCTGTTCAAGTTTCAGCATTTAAACCTCTGTTGAAGTTTTTACATGCACGCAAATAGTCACTCTGGGTTTCAAAAGACTGGTTTGTTTTCGCTCAGCAAGATGAAAATCGAGTGACAATAAAAATAAAGCAAATCAGGCTAGGAAACAACGTAATCTTGACGTAAATTTGACCTTGATGATGAGCAGCAGATAAATCTTTCAACAACGCTAACTCCAACAACAACAGCTGTAGCAAACTAAGTCAAGTATAAAAGTGTCCTGATGTTTTTAGAAAAGTTTAAGCAAGTCAAAAAAGTGAATAATATCAAACCGAAAATTCCAAATGCAAGGTTTGGCTTTGTCATACATCTATTCCAAAGAAATGTATAAAAACACTGAGTTTTATTGCATTAAAAAGTGCCGCGCAAGTGACAACTCAACTCAACCTCTAAAGCCTCTTAAAGATTTAACATCATCACATAAATAAAATTATTTTTTTATTTTTTTTTTCAAATTTTATTATTGGTTGATTTTTAATTAACATAAATGGTTGAATTTTTTAAATTAGGTATTTTTTTGATAACCCATTTATTTGCACATTTCATTCCTCCCAAACAGGAGTGTATATTGAAATATGCAGCCGTAGAATAGAATGAAAAAGGAGGAGTCGAAGTGCAGTGGTTAGTACGCTAGCCTCAGAAATAGAGATTCGTTATTCAACGCCACCTCTGGGTAAGTTATATAGCATCGATAAGGAAAGAAGCGTTCTTTCAAATGCTTTTCTGCGATAAGACCGAAAGATTTAATGGGCACCTAAATATAAAAAATAATTAAAAAAAATTTTTTTTTTCTAAATAAATCAAGTTTCTTGAAAAACTTTTTTGAAAATAAATTTGATTTTTATATTTAAATACAATTCAAAAGTCTTTACAACTTGAAAAAAAAAAAATTGAAATCTTTTCACCGTGATAAATAAAAATTTATTTGACCCGCTTTTACTCTTTAATCTTTTTTAATCTTTATAAGGTTTTGGAGATTGAATTGAGTTGTCACTTGCACGGCACTTTTTAATGCAATAAAACTCAGTGTTTTTATACATTTCTTTGGAATAGATGTATGACAAAAAAAAAAAGCAATTTCAAACTTACTTGGCAAATTGTGTGAGAAATCATGGTAAACTAAAAATAAATCAGGCGCATTTATTGTTGTAACTTTAAGTTAATCAGACAGAGAATCTTCTCAGATTAACTTAAAGTTACCAAAATAACGACGAGATTTAAAAGAGGGGGGGGGGGGAAATGGTGTAAACAACTGTTGCCCGACATCTGTTTTTTCTATAAAACTAAACACGTTCAAGAAAAAACAGAATTGCTGCATGATTTAAAATCCCCAACCATTCTAATGCGTTATAACCCTATAAATTATTCAGTTTACAATCATTTTAGTAAAAAATAAGTTACAGAAATGAAATCTATGGTAAGTTTCCTTTTCTGAAAAAGTTATGAATAAAATATATGTTCTGCAAGACAAACAATTAGATTGCTTAAAGAGAAAGCATTACTTTTCTAAGTGTGAACTACAAACAATCTTTTAAAATATGTTTAAGGTAAAAAAATAAAATTCATTTTGAAAAAAAATTAAGATTTGTTCAGGAATCAGTCATGTGTAAAAACGTCTTGGTACTCGCCTCAGAAATCTTGTTTATTTAAATAAAAAGACAGCATTAAAAAAGTAAACTTACAGAATCAGTAATAAACTCTCTCCAAAACTATAATGGTTTACCAATTAGAAACAATATTCATAGTTTGTATGCTATAAAGAAAGCAGTTTGGGCAATATCTTTTCACGGCGCTAAACTTGATGATCAAGAATACCAACATAAAATTATATATTGGTGAAAGGGTGAAATCTGTTTTAAGTTACTTTGGAATGTAAGGATCAGTGACTATTTCAAAACTGGTTTTAAAAGACCAAAAGCGAATTGTAAACAAACGTCGTTAATCAACTTCTGTATGCAAAAAGTGAATAAAAAAAGATCTTTTCATAAGTAATACTTAGATACTGAAAAAACAGATTCTTATAGCTCTGGTAACTTTTATAGAGTGTTTATACTATAAATATTCCTTAAAAGCTACCAGAGCTATATCATATAATCTGTCATATTAAACTG